TGCTGGGATTCATTAAATGTACAAATCCACAATATACTCTCTGTTTATAAGAATAATGGCTTCCAAAGACGTCCACATTCTAGTCCCCATAATCTGTGAATATGTTACTTTACAGGCAAAAGGGACTTGGTAGATGTGAATAAAGTAAGGACCTCGAGATGGGGAGACTACCCTGGATTACGTGGCCGAGCCTAATCACATGAGCCCTTAAAAATAAGAGAGCCTTTCTTGGCTAGATTCAGAGAGAAGGTGGGTGAATATGCGAGAACAGTCAGAAGGGTGCAATGCTGTTGGCCTTGAAGATGCACAAATGGGGCCAGGAGCCAAGGAATGTGGACAGCCTGTAGAAGCTGGAGAAGGCAAAGAATCGAATTTTCCCTGGAGCTTCCAGAAAAATGGAACCCTGCTGACATCTTGATTTTAGCCTGTAGGGCTTCTGACCTATAAACTGGTAAGAGAGAGGACTGTGGGAAGATGGCAGACTAGAGAAACCTAGGGCATGCCTCTCCCACAGAAGACCTGAACGGGCCCTTCACTACCAGCACTGCACTCATTGGTGACATCGTCAGATACCGGAACCATCACCCACCCTCCCACTGTGAGTTTCACCTCATCCCATGTTGCCAGAAGTCACTCAAACCAGTGCTACAGCTCTGACCAGGCCAGACATGCACAGGATCCCTGCCCACACTGCTACACCAGTCAGCCCGACTGTGTGCGGGTCCCCTCCCACAGCCACCTGCACTGCAGCAGACATTGCTAGTGGCTGTCTACACCCCTGTACCATCCAGACCAACCATGTGCGGGACCCCCACCCAAGCAGCCTCAACAGCCAGCTCAGCTTCTTGTGGGTCCCTCTGTCGTAGTTGTGTGCAGTGTGTCTACTGCCACCATAGCCATTGCACCAGCAGGACCGGCTGGGGTTGAGGGAGTGAGTGAGGAAGTGGTAGACCCCAGCACAGCTGATCCCGCCATGAATTAACCCTGCAGCTGCCAAAGCCCCAAGGGGAGTAACTGAGGCAGTTGCAATCCCCAGAGCCACTGCTCCTGCAGCAAATTAACCCCGCAGCTGCCAGGGCCACTGAGGGAGTGAGCAAGGAAGTAGAGACCCCAATACTGCTGTCCCTGCTGCGACTTGACCCTGCAACCACCAGGGCCACTGCAGACGAGAGTGGGGCAGTTGCAGCCATTGCTGCTGCTGTTGTGACCATGAGGTAACTCCCCTGCCACCTAGGACAGCACCAAGGACACTACAGATGGGTGAAGAAGTTCCAACCACTAGTGGCACTGCTGCCCTCATGAGGTAACCCCCCTACTGTTGTGGACACTGCAGAGGCATCAGAGACTGTTGGAGCTAACAGTACCACTGCCACCCCACAAGATAACCCTCCTTCACCCACTTCCACTGCAGACATCACAGACAGGAGGGAGGGAGGTGCAGCCTCTAGCACCACTGCTGCCCCCATGAGGTAACCCCGCTGTCACTGCAGACACAGCAGACTTGAGGGAGGCAGTTGCAGCCGCTAGTGCTGCTGCCACCCTCACAAGGTAGCCCCTCTATTGCTATGGACACTGTAGACGCAAGGGAGGCAATTACAGCCACTGGTGGGGCTGCTGCTGCAGTCACTATAGCTGTGCAGGCATCTGTGGAGGTTACTACAGCCAAGCAGACAGCAAGTGCAACCATCACTGCTGCAGTCACTGCCACCACCAGCACTGCCAGATAGCCACCATCATTATGCAAGCAGCCCGCCACTGCTGGAGCCACTGCAACCCTCCAAAGCCAATGCCACAACCACTTCCACCATGAGGGTGGCCTGCTACCACAGCAGCAGCCATAGCAGCCACTGCAGCTGCGTAGGCACACAGCCAATCACTCAACTGAATTGACACAAAGAGGACCACCAGCAGAGTCCAGGGAAAGAGAGTAATAGAAGGACCTGCTCTTCCAGATAACTAAACATCAATGTAAAAATACTAAAAATATGAAAAAGTAAGAAAATATGAGTCTACCAAAGGAATATAATGACTCAAGGAAATACTTGAAATGACTGAGAAGGAATTCCATGTAAAAAACTTTAGGAAACTCAATGAGATACAAGAAGATACAGTTAAGATTACACAATGAACCAAGCACATTTAAAGATGAATTAATACCAATTCTTTTCGAACTATTCCAAAAAATTGAAACAGAGGCCATTCTCCCCAACTCATACTATGAGGCCAGTATACCAAAGCCAGACAAAGATTCAACAAAAAAAGAAAACTACAGGCCAATATCCTTGATGAACATAGATGCAAAAATCCTAAACAAAATATTAGCAAACAGAATACAGCAACACATCAAAAAAATTATACACCAGGATCAAATGGGATTCATCCCAGGCATGCAAGAATGGTTCAACATATGCAAATCAATAAGTGTGATACATCACAGCAACAAAATCAAGGACAAAAACCATACGATGATCTCAATAGATGCAGAAAAAGATTTGACAAAATTCAACATCACTTCATGATAAAAACTCTCAGCAAATTAGGCACAGAAGGAAGGTATTTCAACATAACAAAAGCCATATATGACAAACCCTCTGCCAATATGATCCTGAATGAGGAAAAGTTGAAAGCTTTTCCCTTCAGAATGGGAACAAGGATGCCCACTCTCACCACTCCTATTCAACATAGAACTGGAAGTACTAGCCAGAGCAATCAGGCAAGATAAAGAAATAAAGGGCATCTAGATGGGAAAAGATGAAGTCAAATTGTCCCTGTCTGCAGATGACATGATCCTAATATAGAACA